CCAGTTACCTCCTAGGAGTTTCGTAAGAATTAAGTAAGATAATATTTTTAAGTGCTTACTGGCACATAGAATGAGCCCTCAGGAAATATTAGCTATCACTAATATCACCATCATGCCTCTGGTTAAAATGAGTCAGATTCTCAACTGTCTATAGAAAAAGAGTAAGCATTCTTTTTTCTTTCTTTTTTTTGTAATGGGCACGGAGGATATTTACTTAAGATGGTGGTTTTCAAACTTTTAAAAAAGTAGCAGACTGCTTGTTTTGTAAATGAAATCTTACATGAACCTTACTACAGGAAGCAGATAAATGTGCACTCCTCAGGGAGCAGCAAGGGGGAGGGGCCTGGGCTCTACCCTCTCACTCTCTGCCTTGTCCTTTAAAGGAGACTGACATCCCTGAGGAACACAACTGGTTTAGAGGGAAAGGGAAAAGAGGTTAACATTTAGACAAATAAACGAACGAATAAAATAAATGAATAGGGAAAAACGGAAAGCCTTTCCTTAATGTGGAGGTAGAAACGGAGCTGGAAAATGACCGCTTTGTAACCATCACAGTAAAGATTGCGAGAAGGGCGGGGGCCAGGTAATGCATTGGAGGAGAATACGGTCAGATCCCATGGAAGGAAAGTTCACTAAATACCCGGTTGGGTAGTCACTAGGGAGGCAGGAGAATGCAGGACTTGCATGCTGAATCGCATGCATCATGGCACAACAATGCCAAAAAAAAAAAAAAAAAAAAAAAAAAAAAGAGAAAAAAAGAAAAGTGTTAGAAGCAGGATATTTGCATGATCTTCATGCAAACAGATGGCACATAAGGGAGAAAACACTGCTTATACCAGGGCAAATATTACTGACCTGCAGACTCGAAAAACATGAAAGTCACGTAAGGCAAGAAAAGGCCAAAGTGCTTCAGATTAAAAGCTAAGAGAGACACAGTGACTATTAATAAACACAACATATGATTTCTGACCGGATCATGTAAAGAAAAAAATGCCATAAAGGACATTATTGGGACAACTGACATTTGAAATATGGATTGTAAATGTGATACTGGCCAGGCGCCTGTAATCCCAACACTTTAGGAGGCTGAGGCAGGCAGATAACTTGAGCTCAGGAGTTCAAGACCAGCCTGGGCCACATGGTGAAACCCCGTCGCTACAAAATATTTAAAAATTAGCTGGATGTGGTAGCACCTGTGGTCCTAGTTACTTGGGAGGCTGAGGTGGGAAGATGGCTTGAGCGTAGGAGGTGGAGACTGTAGTGAGCTAGGATCATGCCACTGCACCCCAGCCTGGGCCATAAAGCAAGACCCTGTCCAAAAAAACACAAAAAAATTGATACAAGCATTGTATCAGTGTTTAGTTTCCTGAATTTGATAAATGTACTGTGGTTATATAAGATAATGTCCTTATTCTTAGGAGACACAAATGAGTACATTACATGGCCTGAAGAGGAAAAGATATATGTGACCTACTCTCAAACAGTTCAGAAAAAAACATATACAGCATGTTTACACAGATGGAGAAAACAGTGAAAGAAAGGTAGGAGAAAGGAAGGTTTGATAATCAAAGAAATGATGTGAAATAATCTTTAAATAGAGTAATGTGAAACAAAATAGAAAACGTTAAGAAGCCAGGTTTGCTTATTTCTGCTTCGAACCCCTGACTGGGATGAAAGGCAGCTCCTCAGGAAGAATCTTTTTTTTTTTTTTTTTTTTTTTGAGACAGAGTCTCGCTCTGTCGCCCAGGCTGGAGTGCAGTGGCGCGAACTCAGCTCACCGCAAGCTCCGCCTCCTGGGTTTACGCCATTCTCCTGCCTCAGCCTCCCGAGTAGCTGGGACTACAGGCGTCCGCCACCTCGCCCGGCTCGTTTTAAATTTTTAGTAGAGACGGGGTTTCACCGTGTTAGCCAGGGTGGTCTCGATCTTCTGACCTTGTGATCCACCCGTCTCAGCCTCCCAAAGTGCTGGGATTACAGGCTTGAGCCACCGCGCCCGGCAGGAAGAATCTTAAAACAGGATAGAGCACACGGGCCCCCACGTCACTTGCCTGAGTTACAATGTTCCTGAAACAGTAAATCAACTCGACCTTGCCTTTTCCTACATGAAGATGTCTGACAGGGTTTGTGATTATGCTTCTACAATCTATAACCAATTTACTTTAGTAATCTATAAAGTGATGTACTCTTACACCCAAACTTTAATGAGATTTCACACATACAGAACCCCCACAACCTACATAGAAGCAATAGGCTGAAACACCACTTTGGAGCCCTGTGAAAGAACCGCCCTCAGGGTATAAACCTTGGTCTACAGTCCTCAGCAAGACTTCTGAATAAAACTAACTGTAATCACGTAAAAGTTTAACTTTTTTTTTTTTTTTTTGACAGCAGGTAAGCAAATTAACTGGGGAACTGCAGTGGGGATGCTAAACAGCAGAGTACCCATTTGTTAAGGGTTGATCATGAATTTATGGGAGGGGCTACAAACACAAATGCCAACAGGGGCCAGGCAGTAAACGACTGAAGCAGACTGAGTGACGAAGGAACTCAAAAATGCATGTCCCATCTAAAGGGGCAACCACTGGAATGCTGCCACCAAGCCTAGCAGCTCTGTGCCGCCAGATCTCCTGATTTTCCAAGGGAAGCCAGAAATCTTTATTTTTTTTTGATATGTTAATTTTTAAAACACTCCATGGGCTCAAAAAAACATTTCTAAGTGCAAGAAAATATAGTGCTTGGATGACTAGTTTCTGATTTGTCATCACACCAGACGACCTGTTTACAAGATTTTCTTCAACGGTGCTCAGCTGTGGAGGTACTGTCATGGTTGCATTTATCCAAGGTTCTACATGTGCTAAGAAAGTGATGGGGGCCAGGCGCGATGGCTCACACCTGTAATCCCAGCACTTTGGGAGGTGGAGGCGGGTGGATCACCTGAGGTCAGGAGTTGACGACCAGCCTGGCCAACATGGTGAAATCCCGTCGCTACTAAAAATAAAAAAATCAGCCGGGTGTGGTGGCGCATGCCTGCAATCCCAGCTATTCCTCCTGAGGCTGAGGCAGGAGAATCGCTTGAATCCGCCAGGCACAGGTTGTGGTGAGCTGAGATTGCACCACTGCACTCCTGCCTGGGCAACGAGAATGAAATTCCCTCTCAAAGAAAGAAAGAAAGTAATGGGAAAGGAAAAGTGACCTGAGGTAGTGAGTTCTAAGAGAGTGATTGTAATGACAAGCTACAGAAAATTCAGTTGAATAAAGACAATCTAGAAGCCAAGGGCTAATGGTTACAGTGAACGTCAGGAGGAGTCAATGTATTGAACGAATCGATACCAAATCCTATTCCTCCTCAAGTTCTTCAGCAAATGATGTTAAGTGCTGATGATGGTGGTCACGGAATGTACACTTTTTAAAAATAGCGATAATGCAGTTCTTAGAAATTACAACTTTCAGGTGCATCAGGCGAGTGAGTCGAAGAAATGCCAACTTCAAAAGCGATTGGACGATATTATTTATATTCAGTCTGATAAGGGATTTTGTTACTTAGATGACTTTTTAAAAATGCATCCTGAAAATACATATAATCATGATAAAAAACATCGGACAAATTCCATGATTAGGACATCCTACAAAATACATGACCAGTACTCCTCAAAACTCTCAAGGTCACCAAAAGTAAGGAAAGTTTGAGAAACTGCCACAGCCACAAGAGGCATATAAGGAGACATGATAACTAAAAGTAAGGTGGTATTCTGGATGGAATCCTGGAACAGAAAAAGGGTATTGGGTAAAACAGAAGGAAATCTGAATAAAATGTAAACCTTAGTTAATAGTGTAAAATATTGGTTCATTAATTGCAACAAATGTACCATATTAGCATGAAATGTTAATAATACGGGAAACTGGATGCTTTGTATATGGGATTATCGCAACTTAAAAAAAAACTAAAACAGCCTTAAAAATAAACTACATTAACAAAATAATACCTATTTTTAAAGGTGTAGTGAATAAAACAATGGCCACCCCTATATTTAACATCTGGTTTAATAATGGCCAATACAGTTAAAGCCTCCCTTTCTTGTCCCCTCCTTACCAGATATGACCGCTTTTCTCAACTTGATTTTCATTCTCTTGTATTCCTGACTACTTTAACTACATATATATACATAACTAAGCAATATATAGCATTATTTTACAAGTTTTAGAATTGAATGCACATGAATTGTCATACTATTTATTTTTCCACATCTTTCTCTTTTTGCCTTATCACATTTCTGAGTTCAGTCTTCTTTTATGGGCGTATAATACTACATCCTAATTAACATCCCATAAGGTATTTATTCTCTTATTGATGGACGTTTCTAATTTTTTGCTTCTACTCACAGCGCTGTTACATACATCCTCGTTCACTTACCAAAGTTTCTACAAGACGTATAGGTAGCAGCAGAGTGCTAGGGTATAGTAATTGAAAATCTTTTTTTACTGGATTTTGCCAAATTGCTTTCCAAAGAAGTTTTAACGTTTGCGCACCTACTAGCAGGTGCGTATGTTTAGACGTGTGGAGGATAAACTATTTAAAGACATAGAAACTAGATAATATACTTGCTTCATTCTCGTTTGACTTTCGTACCCACGCAATTATTTCTGCAAACAAATAAGCAACTACTACTAGCACTTTCCGCAGCTCCACCCGCAGTATTCCCCGGGGAGGCACGGAAACACGGGAGCTTCCGGCGTAGGCGGTGACGCAAAGGACGACGTAAGCACGCTCGGGTCGTCGGCGTCCTGTTGGTCGTCCTTGAAGGCCCCTTGCCGGGCTGTCTGACACGATACAAGTGTCGGCTTGTGTTGGCCGGTGGTCTTTCTTTCGCAAGAAAGGAAAATATCCTCACAGATTTTCTGTGTTCTCAGAGACGATCTTCTTCCCTAGAAAGGAGTCGCTTTCGGTTGGCGTTTCCCTCAGGCAGCGCCGTGGGCAGCCCACAGGCCCTTGTAAGGCGCGCGCCGCGGCCCCGCCTCTTTCCTTTCGGCCGGAACCGCCATCTTCCAGGTAGGGCCTGCGCGTGGCTCCCGGGCGCTAAGTGTTCGACAGACTTGAACCGCAACCTTGTGGCCTCAGAGCTCGTCCACTGGGACCGTGGGGAGACTGTCTAACCTGTTTGAGGTCCATTGGCATGGGCGGGTTAAACCACGTCCTGCCAGACGGGGAGCAGCGTGCGCCGGGTCGGGCCTGGACCGTGGGCTGAGAACCGGACTGCGATATCGCGGCCCTGCCGGGGCACATTTGCGAGAAAGACGACACTGAGTCGCTTTGGGTGAGGTGACTCGAGTTAATCTTTAAAAGACTTCGTTTAATGTCCCCGTGGCTGCATCTCCGGTACCGTGGGTGGCCCTCTCACATAGGCCGTGTGGGGGCCGCGTGGCCTGATACCTTTCTAACTCTTTTCAGTGTGGCGTTTTTATTCCTAATCTTGTGATGGTGTTGGGTGAGGACTTAAGCGGTAGTAGGAATGGGTTTAGAGTCAGGCGTCGGTTTTAATCTCCTGTGAGGCCTGCACGTGTGAAAACCCGGGCCCTTGGTCGGAGAGTGGGTCCCGGAGTCGTCCTGGGTAGTGAAACCTCACTGCTCTTAGTTAATGCATAAGACGATTTTCGACTGATTTTAAAATTTTGACCCCACATGGTGGTTGGACGAAGGGAAAGTGTTTTGACGTTGCAACACCAATATTTGCACCCAGAGGAGATACGTTTTGCGAATTCTAGGGCGGCATGCTTTGAGTGAAGGGCAACATTTAGCCGTAGTTCATCATTTTGTCAGTTTGTGGATGTTAACAGTCTGCAGATTGCTCTTTATAGTGAATCCTAGTTGCCATGATTTTAATACTGTTACAGACTGTAAAGCATCGTTTTGAAAAGTGCTTTCAGTTTTAAGTTTATGGGGTCCATGCGGAAAATGGATTCCAAACTCAGAAAGGTGAATCTAGTGGAGGACTAAGGGCTCTGGAATCAGGAATGAGTTAACTGGTTCTGCCACTTGGTGATTCCACAGAGTGGCTTGAATCTACACAGTACCACTCCTTGTATACTAACTTACCACAAGTTTGTGGAACTTTATACACATCTAAAGGCTTTGGGGATTAGAATAGGGTACCTGGCATTTAAAGGGTTCATCCATTGTAACAGTGGTTTGGCTTTGGTGAGTTAGGTGAAACATGTCTCCTTGCTATACAGTTTTTATACAAATGGTACTTTGGGAGCCATTCTTAAAGGATTGTTAGTAAATTTAGAAACCAAATTGTGTTAGAATGTTGTCAACACGTTAAGCCTGACTGCTGTATTTTACCTTACGGTAGCAGTAATAGCCAGGAATGGCACTTCTGCCCTGTAATGACTAAAGAGCCATCAAAACTATTGTTTTGGCCTTTTTGGGAAACAAAAGGAAAGGTTAATTTCTAAATGCCTACATGTAGGTGAATTCTTAGATAATGATAAATTAGCTGCCAGTTACTACTGAGCACTTTACGTGGGCCATGCATTGCTGAGTTCTTTGTAGATGTTATCTGTTATGGAAGTGTTCACCCCTATTTCACAAATGAAGATGAGAGATGAAATGTGGGTTTCGCAGCTAGTAAGTGGCAGAGCCTATGTCAAATTTAGGTCGATGATTATAAAGCCTGGGTTCCCCTCTCTTCTACCCTGTATACATTTCGTAGTAAGTAATCCGAAATGTGAAGTGACTTGAGATTTCTGATAAATAGATGCTGTTTGAGATACACCATCACGAAAAATTTGGTTGACAAGAAAGATTTAATTCACGTAAAAATGTAAGGCTGTTTTATTGTGTTCTCCAATAAATTCTTATAGTTAGTAATTAAATGCCATTGGCATTCTAGATTGGGGTCTACAGATAGAGTGTGGTAGAAGTCCTGTTGTAGTTTTATATTCTCATAGAGAAAGGGTACTGGTTTGGATTCTCGTATCAAGTTCTGCTGCTTGGCTGGGCGCGGTGGCTCAAGCCTGTAATCCCAGCACTTTGGGAGGCCGAGACGGGCGGATCACGAGGTCAGGAGATCGAGACCATCCTGGCTAACGCGGTGAAACCCCGTCTCTACTAAAAAAAATAATAATAATAATACAAAAAACGAGCCGGGCGAGGTGGCGCGCGCCTGTAGTCCCAGCTACTTGGGAGGCTGAGGCAGGAGAATGGCGCAAACCCGGGAGGCGGAGCTTGCAGTGAGCTGAGATCCGGCCACTGCACTCCAGCCTGGGCGACAGAGCGAGACTCCGTCTCAAAAAAAAAAAAAAAAAAGTTCTGCTGCTTAAGAGTTTTGATATTGTAGAACTTGGACAGTTTTGCCAAAATATCTTAACTTGCTAAAATAATGGGTTTTTAACCTTTCAACAGAACTAATTGCTTGGTGACCCAGCTTTCAGTTTGCAGTTCTCACTTTGCTACTGACATGCGAACATTTGAAATTACAGGGGTTTGGGGCAAATGCCAATTTTCATTTGCATTTGACTGTTACGCTTTCTGGTTTCAGTAATTTGCCAAAATGACGAACACAAAGGGAAAGAGGAGAGGCACCCGATATATGTTCTCTAGGCCTTTTAGAAAACATGGTAAGTAGGTTTACCTTCCTTGAGAGAAGCATGGCACACATTTGTGTTCTGTTGTGTTCAACATGTGTTGTAGTTCAGAGAATGTGTATCAATAGCATTAAATAACTAGCGTCTACCCAACTTATTTTGTGATAAATAAGCATGAAGTTTATATGATAATTTTGTGACTAAATATTGATGCAAGATTAAACTTTGAAGAAAGGTTGTAATTTAGTAGGCTGATTTTGCTTTCGGGAGAAATTATCCATTGGCAAGATATTAAGCATGTAACCATCAAAAATGATGTGTTAAAAGCTAGTGAGATTTCATTTCTTTTACTCGACTTTTAGCCTTAGTATTCACTATACCAAATTTATTTTTGCAGGAGTTGTTCCTTTGGCCACGTATATGCGAATCTATAAGAAAGGTGATATCGTAGACATCAAGGTAAACATAAAATTGGGAAAATAACACTACGAAGTTAGAAAAGTTGGATTTAATCTAGTGTAGGAATTCAAATACTAGTGTATATTGCATCTGTAAGAGTACAGAATGGATTTTTTTTTTTTTTTTTTTTTTTTGAGACACAGTTTCACTCTTGTTGCTCAGGCTGGACTGCAATGGCACGATCCCACCTCAGCCTCCGCCTCCCTTCCAGGTTCAAGCGATTCTCCTGCCTCAGCCTCCCAAATGTCTGGGATTACAGGCATGTGCCATGATGCCTGGCTAATTTTGTATTTTTAGTAGAGATGGGGTTTCTCCATGTTGGTCAGGCTGGCCTCGTACACCTCGGATGATCCGCCCAATTCAGCCTCCCAATGTGCTGGGATTATTGCAGGTGTGAGCCACCGCGCACAGCCTAGAATGGATTTTTTAAAGTGCTGTTCTTAGCAGAATTTAAATTTTCCTCATCACCTGCTTGGAGTTAACAAGTGGAAATTTGGTGGTAGGGTGGGAAATTATGAGTTTGTCACGTTGGAAGGGAATGCCTTAGTGCAAAGTTTAACTATTGATGAAGATTACCGTTACTATGATTAAAAACCCTCGTAGTGAAAGCTGTGTTCTGTGGTCTGTATTTAAGTGTATCCTGGCACTCTAGAGCTTAATGATGATTGGTTTTTTTTGATTGCTTGAAGCAATGTGAAAAACACATTTCACCGGCTCTGAAAGCTCTTGAGTTGCCATTTAAAGGAAATCTTAGAATATCTTAGTTACTTAAAGTCAGATTTTTAAAGGAAAGGGAAATGCTGGTATATTTGTCTCTTTAACAGGGAATGGGTACCGTTCAAAAAGGAATGCCCCACAAGTGTTACCATGGCAAAACTGGGAGAGTCTACAACGTTACCCAGCATGCTGTTGGCATTGTTGTAAACAAACAAGTTAAGTAAGTAGTGTTGTAGTTCTTTGCAGCCAACCGGTATTCCCTCATACCCCCTTTTCACTTTGCCAATTGGACTTATGTCTTTATTGGTCATTCAAGTGGGGCAAAGGAAATAATCCTTTTAAAACTCAGGCAAACTGAGTGTTTGTCTTGTATCCTGTCAGAGGAAACAAATTGAAACAGATGTATTGGAAAGTCTTAACACAGTTTGTTACCAAGCAGTTTTTTTTGTTGTTTGTTTTGAGACAGAGTCTTGCTCTGTCACCCTGGCTGGAGTGCAGTGACGGGATCTCTGCTCACTGCAAGCTCCACCTCCTGGGTTCATGCCATTCTCCTGCCTCAGCCTCGCGAGTAGCCAGGACTACAGGCACCCACCACCATGCCCGGCTAATTTTTTTGTATTTTTAGTGGAGATGGGGTTTCACTGTGTCAACCAGAATGGTCTTGATCTCCTGACCTCGTGATCGCCTGCCTCGGCCTCCCAAAGTGCTGGGATTACAGGCGTGAGCCACCGCGCCCGGCCCAGCAGTTTTTGTAGAATAAAAAGAGAAAATTTTAAATTTTATTAGCAATCTGGTTTGGGTTAGATTACTAGAGTTTAAGAGGCTGTCATCTCATCAAATAGAGTTAAAAGTAGGGATGTTCTCTGCAAGGCTTCTGATATGATTAAATAATTGATTGTAAAGTAATCAAGCCATACTTTTTTGATTTGTCGTATCTGGATAAAAGGTTCATGGTTTGTTTAATAAATGAAACTGCAAAAAGTTTTCTATATTTCTGTTACATTTCTGATAAAGCATTTACAAGAATTTCTTCTCTGTTCAGGGGCAAGATTCTTGCCAAGAGAATTAATGTACGTATTGAGCACATTAAGCATTCTAAGAGCAGAGATAGCTTCCTGAAACGCGTGAAGGAAAATGATCAGAAAAAGAAAGAAGCCAAAGAGAAAGGTACCTGGGTTCAACTGAAGCGCCAGGTGAGAATTTGGTGTATATTTCATTGGTCCTGAGAGCACTTTAAGGTTGAGATTTAACACTTCACGTAATTATTTCATTCCCCTTTTTTTCCTTTAATAGCCTGCTCCACCCAGAGAAGCACACTTTGTGAGAACCAATGGGAAGGAGCCTGAGCTGCTGGAACCTATTCCCTATGAATTCATGGCATAATAGGTGTTAAAAAAAAAAAATAAAAGACCTCTGGGCTGAAAAATGTTTCTCTTCATTGAGTAGAAGTGTGGTGTCCTCTCCCCCAAAGAAATACTTAAAGCAAATTTTAGTTGTGTCCTAATTCATTATGTAATGTCTTTCCTATTCAAATTTAATGTATTCCTTGCTGAAGGATGTAAGGTAGCTTATTGTGCAACAGATTACTCAGTTGGTTAGAAAATGGCCAGGTATTATGTATGAAATATTTGTACTGGTTTGAAGATAGTCTTAAATCATCAAGGAAGAAATAAAGTAATTTTTTTTTTCAGACAGTCTTGCTCTGTCAACCTGGTTGGAGTGCAATGGTGTGATCTCGGCTCACTGCAACATCTACCCTCTGGGTTCAAGCGATTCTGCCTCAACCTTCTGAGTAGCTGGGATTATAGGCGCGTGCCACCGTGCCCAGCTAATTTTTATATCTTTAGTAGAGACGGGGTTTTACCATGTTGGTCAGTCGGGTCTCGAACTCCTGCCCTCGTGATCCACCTGCCTCGGCCTCCCAGTGCTGGGATTACAGGCATGAGCCACTGTGTCAGGCCATATAAAATAAATTACAAAAATAAGTGGGATATAATCTATTGCATTACAGTTAAGCTCAGGATCCAGAGTTTGCTTTTGAACCCTAAAAAAACACATTGTTTAAAGTATCCATTTGTGTGTTATATACTAGTTTGGAATTGCTTTGACCATGCATGAAACAGAACTCAGAAAATAATAGTGGTAATAGCATTTGTGTTAGGCCATTGTCTTGCTGTAACAATATAGCACAGACCTGGGTAAGCAGTAGAAGCTTATGTGGTAGTTCTGGAGGCTCTGACGTCCCAAGATAAAGGTGCTGGCAGGTTTGGTATCGTATGAAGGTTTGGCCTTCACTTACCTCTTGATAATTCCACAATGGGAGTTCCTTTTTTTTTTAATTGAATATTTTATTTTGAGATAATTGCAGATATACATGGAGTTATAAATAATAAAGATTCCTTGTACACTGTATTCTGTTTGTCAATGATAACATCTTGCAAAACTGTAGTGCAGTTTCACAGTCAAGATACTGATAATAGGTGGGCATGGTGACTCGTACCTGTAATCCCAGTACTTTGGGTGGCTGAGGTGGGTGGATCACTTGAGGTCAGGAGTTCAAGACCAGCCTGGCCAACATGGTGAAACCTGTCTGTATCAAAAATACAAAAATGAGCCAGCTGTGGTGGTGAGTGCCTGTACTCCCATCTGCTCTGGAGGCTGAGGCAGGAGAATCAAGAGAGACTCAAAAAGCATAAAGTCAATATGTAGAAGAGTTAACACCACAAGATACCTCGTGTTGCCTTACGTAGTCAGACCACCTCTTCCCCCGCCGATCCCTGGCAAGCACTAAGCTAGCCTTCATTTCTTTTTGTCATTTCAAGAATGGAAATGACAGGGATCATGTAAGTTAGATGTGTCCCTTTGCCTTTTTTGACTTAGCATGATTCCCTGAAGATGCATCCAAGTTGTTTCACGTATTGTGTGTAGTTCTATTGCTGAGTACAATTCATGGTATGAACGTACCACAGTTTGTTTAGTCATTTGACCTGCTAAAAGACATCTGGGTTATTACCAATAGTTAGCTGTTGTTTTTAAGGCTGTTACGAGAATTCATGTACAGGTTTTTGTGTGAATGTAAGTTTTCATTTTTCTGGGATAAACGTCCAAGAGTGCAGTTGCTGGGTCTTAAGGTAGTTGCATGTTTACCTTTCTAAGAAACTGCTAATCTGTTTTCCAGAGCGTTTTCTACCATTTTACATTTCTACCAGCGGTTCATGACTTATGGCAATTTCTCTGCAACAGTGGGGATTAAGTTTCATCATGAATTTTGGAGAGGACATATTAAAACAATACCCTTCAATTGGAAACGTTTACTTAACAAACATGGGTCCTTGAAACGTATCCTCGCCAATCTTGCTGACAGGCATTAAGTCCATTTCATCCCCAAATCGATTCTATCCAACCTTTGAGATTGTACACAGTCATTCTTATTGCTACCTTCTCGGGGTGAGGCTGTGTAAGGCAAAGACCTAGTCATATTTACTAAGTGTTAAGAACTATCGGGCGCAGTGGCTCACACCTGTAATCCCAACACTTTGGGAAGCTGAGTTGGGAGGATCACTTGAGTCCAGGAGGTCAAGGCTACAGTCAGCTATGATTGCTGTCACCGCACTCCAGCCTGGGTAACAGCAAGACCCTGTCTCAAAAAAATATTTTTTAATGTTCTGAATGGAGAAAAGTCTAGGTGGTGGTCTTGAGTTTTTCCCAATGAAGTGAGATGGGTGATATGTACTGCTTGGGGATCCCTCACAGTTGGATATGAATCTGAATAACTGCCCCTAAGGATTCACATTCTAGTAGTGGAGACTTGCATGTAAACATAATCTCATTAGTCCTGTGTATTTTCCAATAATAGTTCATGGCTCAGCCGTGCATCTAGTAGAAGTCATCACACCCTGTCCCTTTAGTCACACTTGCCTTGTTCCCTTCATTAAAGCAGCTTCCAGACTCCACATTTACTCATTCTGTTACTACATTACAAATTGACCGACATGACTCAGTTTTCTTACCTGGAAGGGGATAATAAAAGTGCCCCTAAAAAGGTGATTTTGAGGGTTAGATGGGAATACTTACAAAGCACATATCATGATGTTATGGTGAATATTCAGTAACTACCAACTTTTGTTTCATAGATCTGCTGCTAATTGAGAATTTTGCATTGTTTGGACACAGAAGCCTGCCAGGAGTATTTTGGATGTCCAAAATTAAGTCATTGCTTTGCAGTGAATCTAGAATTTACTAATATTTAGGTTTTAAGAGTATATGTGACCCCCCTTTTGTGGGGGAGTGGGTGTGGTATATCCCTATTTACCATTTATCTGCTTGAGAGATACGTACATAAAGTTGAGCTCTTCGTTAATGAATTGATATTATATGCCTGACAACATTTGTTGACCACTTGATCTATTTCATCTTCCTGGCTTCTTTGAGATGTGAGGGCTACCATGTTTTATGAGTAAGATAAAAAACTAAAGAAGGGGGAATAACTCACCAGTGGTCATACTGCCAGAAAGTAGCAGAGCTGGTACTTGAACCCATGATCCTCTTATGCCAAAGAGTTCCTCTATTTGCCGTGCTGTTTGACTACCAAGTGGATCCCTGAAGACTCCAATAAGTTAGTGTGTGGGTGGGTGCCAGATAGTGTCCGGAAGACCACATTATTTTTTGTAACAGCTTTGTTGAGGTATGATTGATAACAAAGAACTGCACCTTCAGTGTGTACAGTTTGATGAGTTTAGACATTTGGATGAGTTTGTGCAAACGTGATTGCATCATGATGTATGCGAACCTTTGTAATCTGGTTTCTGCTTGTTTTCCCTTTCACTTCCTGTTACTGCCTTCTTTATGCTTTAGGTATTAGGAAAATAGATTTTTTCAAGTTCTTTGCACATGCTCTTGCCTTTGCCTGCAACACTTAGGCTTTCCTTTGGTCACTTGATGAGTTCCCGTGTGTCCTTCAGCACTCACCCTGTATTATCTCATAGATGATGCCTTCCCTGTTGCAAGTATTTTAAGGAGAGGAATGAAGAAAGCTCTTTGAATCAGACAGGAGAAAGATACTTCTGGTTGTAATAAAATCCCCCACATCTTTGTTCCCATAACTTCTGTTATGTGTTTTAACTCGTAGTCTTCCCCACTACACCTGAGTTTAGGGACTCTTCGTGCCTGGAAAATAGTAAGCATTCAGCAAATACTCTTCGAATTAATGAGAGGATAATGAGAAAAAGACTGCTCTTGAAAAAAAATGCATCTGACTGTGTTCGGTCTTTACAAAACTCTAGTGTTTCTCTGAATTTTGAGGACTCGTAACCATTTTGCGTATGAGTGTGTAGGCTTGTTAAATCTCCCATGTAACGTGCAAAGATCAGGAGACCTTAAACATTGTTTTGTTCATTCTCCAACAAGTCATGTTCCCTTCACTTTCTGTTGCCTCATCAGTAAAGTGGTGTCACCTCCCTGAGTATAAGGGATTGGATAAAATGATTCCTGAAGACCCGTTGTGCACTTAGGGCCTATTTCATGTTGTAACACAACCAGGTGAAATAAGTAAATTGTGACTTGTCAACAAGGAAATGGGGATATGAGGTGTCAATTCAAAGGGGCAAATAAAGTTGGACATGAGAGAAAGAAGGATGACATGCCAGATTGGCTTAGGGGAACTACTATCCTTAGCGCAGATACTCAGAAAATGAACTCTTCCTATGTGATGTACAGCATAGCAATTTTTAAAACAATCAGTGGCAATACTATGAATATGCGTAAAATTTTAGTATTTTGGATTAGTCTTCAAAAATAGATTTCCTCACAAGCACAATACTGGGTTAAAGAATATATGTTTTTCAAATTCTTGGTTCACTTTGATGAATCGATTTACCAAAGGGTTATACCAGTTTGCACTCCACCTTCCAGAGAACATGCTTGTCTCAGCATTCTCATCAGCATTGATTATTTTAATTTAATCTTTGCTACTTTGGTGAGAGAAAATGTTTATTATTGAGTTTGGCTTCAGTTAGCTTCTGGAACCCTCTCCTGGTTTCTTTTTACCTGGTCTGCGGTCTTTGCTGGTTCCGTCTTTCTGATCTCCAAATACTGGAGTACCTTTATACTCCAGGTGAGATTCAAAGCTAGGAGGCTAAAGCCTAAAGCCTCATAGCTTTGAATACCATTTATAATCTGACAATTATCGTGACCTACAAAATCCTTCATTATCTGTCCTGTAGCTACCTTTGCGACCTAGTCTTGTACCACTTCCTGCCCCAAAGTCAGATCCAATTTCATGAGCCTCCTTGCTGTGTCTTTTAAAATGCCAAATGCATTTGTGCCTGAGGGCTTTTGTAAGTTGAAGTACAAAATATGAAGGAATGCTTTTGAAGGAGCGTGTCATGCTATGAAGGAATGCTTTTCCTTCATCCTTCCCCATGATTTGTCCCCTTTAGTCAGCCTCTGCTCGAATTTTATCAAGATTGTCTCTTAATATCCTATAAATACAGACTTTCTTCATTTTCTATACCTTATCCAATATATGTTTAGTGGTCTGAGTTTTTATCAACATATATCTATAGATACTTTAGGGGAATTTTTTTTTTTTTGATAGTGTCTCCCTCATTACCCAGATTGGAGTACGGTGACACAATCATGGCTCACTGCAGCCTCAAACACCTGGGCTTGAGTGATCCTCCTGACTCAGCCTCCTGAGTAGCTGGGACTATAGGAGCATGCCATCGCGCCCAGCTAGTTTTTTATGTTTTAGTGGAGATGGGGTTTCACCATATTGCCCAGGCTTATCTTGAACACCTGGGCTCAAGTGATCTGCCCACCTCGGCCTCCCAAAGTGTTGGGATTATAGGCGTGAGCCACCACACCTGGCCTGTGGGGGATGTTTACTGGTACCTACTCTACTGTGGAATGAAGGGAAAAGAGAGACACCATAAAGCCTTATTAAGGAGGTGACAGTATAGGAGGAGCAGTAAGACCTAAATCTCTTCATAAAATAAGGCAAAACAGGTATCCAGGAGGGTAAAAGGAGACCAGAGGAAAGAGTTGATATTGACAGGGCTCTTGCTTCTGCCCTTTTGTTTCACTGATTATCTTGGTCTATGCAGTAGTGTGATCTCGGCTCACTGCAATCTCTGCCTCCTGGGTTCAAGCAGTTCTGCCTCAGCCTCCTGAGTAGCTGAGATTACAGGCGCCTGCCATCACACCGAGCTCATTTTTTTGTATTTTTAGTAGAGACGAGGTTTTGCCATGTTGGCCAGGCTGGTCTCCAACTCCTGACCTCACATGATCTGCTCGCCTCGGCCTCCCAAAGTACTGGGATGACAGGCGTGAGCCACTGCACCCAGCCCAACTTGCTGGTTTTTTTAACTTCAGCCTGCAGACTTGCAAAAACCAGCAAATAAACCAAGCAGCCCTTCCTGTGCCTTCCTCCTCCCTTTCATAGCTAAATTTCCTGGTCGCCCACTGCAAATCTGGCTTCCGCCTCCACCACTGTGATGAAACTGTACTCTTAAAGGTTACCAAAAGCTTGCTAATTAACAAATGTAGATACTTTTTCCCAATTTAATCTTAGCCACATAATAATTGACAGAGTAACAAATTTTTTCTCTTGCAGAGGGTTCTGTTTCTTCTCCCTATCTGACCCCCTTCTATCCTCATTCTGGGCCCCTCCTAGATGTTCCACGTTTGTCTCTCCCTTCTTTATAAATTATTCCTGGGTTATCTAAGCCAGAGGTTCTTAAAGTATGGTCTCCCAGCTGGCAGCATCAGCATCATCTGAGACCTTGTTAAAAATGCAGACCTGCCCGAGACCCGCCAAATCTGAACTTCTGGGGATGGGGCCCAGCACTTCGTATTTACCAAGCTCTCTGAGTGAGTAAGATACACGCTCAAGTTTGAGAACCACTGGTCTACATCTTTAGTCTTCTCTGATACTTGAGACTCAGTTGCAGAGCTCACATTCTCTGAAGCCCGAGATCTGTAGTTCCATCTCCCTCTTGGGCAGCTCCATCTGGATGTCCTGCAGATTAGGTTTTATAAGTGGGGAGATAATTAAATTGAAACCTCCAAGCTTTGAGTAGTGTGTGTGTGCTGATAAGATTACATGTCTGCTTTGAAATGCAGGTCCTGAGCAACCACCACAGATTGTGCATTTATAAATTAACCTCTTACTGTCCGATTTCCCTTCTTACACGTCAGTGAAAATGAAGAAAAATATCCTAACTATAAATTTTTTCACCCTATTTTTAAGTAATAGCCATGATTGTAAGTGAGGCTGTGTGGTTCCTTGAACTTTGACCTCAAGTCTGTTCCGTTCTAACCAGGTATCTTTTAAGGCCTTCTATTTTTCAGTTGAAACCAGTCTCAAAGGGTTAGATAAAATATATCACCCTCTTTTTTGAAGTTTTCTTCTGAATGTTGTGGCAGAAACACACACTCAGGTTCTTACCTCTTCCATATTCCCTCTTGTGTAGTATTAGCATTTCTCTGTAGTAGGATGGAAAATTTGCTAAAATATAAATTCCTAAAATATGAACAAGGTAGGTTTATCTTAATTCTTTTTTGTGCACAAGACAAAAGATTTAAAACTGGGTTGGATTTATTTGGAATGAGTGTTTATAGCATATTTCTTCACCCTAGCTCCCATTAGAAAAAAATTGATAGTAAAAATCCTCCACAGAATCTGTTCAACCAGTTGCTAGGTTATGAATAATAACAGTGAGGCAGCAGCTGCAGCTGCTGTTGCTGAGGTAGAAAATGTGCGCAGAAGAGTGAATAAGCAGCTGAGGCTCTGCACTGTGATTCTTTTCAAACAGCCGCGTATGGCGAGGAGCTGTTGACAGGCCACCACACAAAGCCACTAATGGAAGAGGGACACAAATGCTGTCGTACACACTTCTCCAGCAAGACTCGGATTTATGGAAATCATTTGGATTGGAAAATAAGTGGAATACTCTTTACTGTCTCTATAAAATGAGATGATAGCTTAGCTCAAGTGAAGATGACTGGATTTTTTTGGTTCCACCTAAGAAGGAAGAGAGGTTCAGATTAAATTAGTTGCTCATGGGAGATGAGTAAGTAAACAGTTCTAAGATCTTTGAGGTCAGAGACCATATCGTTTTGTTTTGTTTTTGTTTTTTAAGACAGGGTCACCCAGGCTGGAGTGCAGTGGCACAATCACGGTTCACTGCAGCCTTGAACTCCTGGGCTCAAGGGATTCTCCCACTTCGGCCTCCCAAAATGCTGGGATTACAGGCAAGAGTCACCGCACCAGGCCCATATCCTATTATTTGTAAGCTCCTAGTACTCATACTGTTGTATGTGCGATCTGCTCTTTTTATATCTGTGAGTTCTGCATCCATGGATTCAACCAAGCTGGGATGGAAAATATTGGGACAAAAAATTGCATCTGTTCTGAACATGTACAAACTTTTTGCTTGTCATTATTCCCTAAACAATACAGTATAACTATTTACATAGCATTTACATTTTATTAGGTATTATAAGTAATCTAGATATGATTTAAAGTAGGAAGGAAGGGCCGGGCGCAGTGGCTCATGCCTGTAGTCCCAGCACTTTGGGAGGCCAAGGTGGGTGGATCATTTGAGGTCAGGAGTTTGAGACCAGCCTGGCCAACATGGTGAAACCCCGTCTCTACTAAAAATACAAAAATTATCCGGGCATGGTGGCGCACACCTATAATCCCAGCTACTCAGAGGCTGAGGCAGGAGAATTGCTTGAATCTGGGAGGCGGAGGTTGCAGCGAGCCGAGATCACACCACCACCGCAGTCCAGTCCGAGCGACAGAGTGAGACTCCGTCTCAAAAAATAAAGTAGGAAGGATGTGCATAAGTTATATGAAAATAACGACACTCTTTTTATATCAGGGATTTCAGCATCCCTGGATTTTGGTATCCTCAGTGTGTCCTGGAACTAACGCCCTACAGATAACCTGAGAAACAACTGTAGAAGGAGCTCTCCTCCTTCTCAAATGATTAATGGCTTTCCATAGCCCCTCAGTAAACTTTTTAGCATGCCATTCAGTCTGGTTCCCAGCCTTTTGGGTCACTTACCACATCCTTCTCACCGTTGAGACTACTCAGAGTTCCTCACACTTGGCATGTACCTTCATGGTTTTGCGCATGCTGTTCCCTCAGTTTGACATGGCCCTTCCCTGGTTTCCACCGATCACACGTGACTCACATTTGCAGCCCAGTTGATGCCTCCCTGAAGCTTTCCCTGATACTTGGGTCAGACCTAACTCTCCCTGTGGCAGCTCTGTTGGAGTTTGCATCCTGACCTGCTCTGGCCTTCCATTATCAACACAGTGTTCTACAACCTGCTTGCTTTATTTTGTATTTATTTTTTTGAATTTTGAACTTTTTGAGACAGGGTCTTGTTCTGTTGCCCAGGCTGGAGTGCAGTGGTATGATCATAGCTCACTGCATCCTCAATCTCCTGGGCTCAAGCAATTTTCCCACCACATCTCGAGTACTTGAGACAACAGGTGTGCACCACCATGCCTGGCTAATTTTTCTTTTCCCTTCCCTCTGCTCCCCTCCCCTTCTTTCTCCCTCCCTCCCTCCCTCCCTCCGTTCCTCCCTCCCTCCCTCTGTTCCTCCCTCCCTCCCTTCATCCATCCTCTTCCCTCCCCTCCCCTTCCTTCCCCTCCCTCCCTTTTTTCCTCCTTTTTTTCTTTCTTTTTTCTCTTTTTGTAAAGACAGGGTCGAAAACGCTTCAAGCAATCCTGCTGCCTTGGCCTTCCAAAGTGCTGGATTACAGGTGGGAGCCACTGTGCCCGGCTCTGTATCCTGCCCTCTATACCTTTGGAATGTGCCAGAATTAAAACTCAGAGGGCTTGAGGCCTGCACCACTATATGGCTGTATGACTTTGGATAAGTTACTCAATTTGTCTAAACCACAATTTAGAGGATATTCACCTGTTTCACAGGATTAATTAAAAATTAAGATAATATTTTAGAATTTTCTTGGTAAACTCAGCAGTTATAAATAATAGTGAATTTGGTAAATTCTTCACTACAGGGATGTCTGTGAAGGCAGGCAGGAGTGTGTTATACTTCGCTGTCTTAGTAAATGTTCACTGCTCTTTGTGTTCTGTGCCAGCACTTATCACAGAGCCTCACAGAGTCAATTTTCAGTAATTTTGCCAGCTGAGTTGAAGTAAAGTAGGGAACTGGTAGAGGACAGAGCCGTGATTCCTGTTTAGGGAGAGCACCTCAAAGGCAGGGGCTCTGAGGCTCCAGTAAACTCAGTAGTCGAGGACTTAGGATATACAGGAAAGGGAGTTGATGTTGGGTTATGGCTGGGGTGGGGGAGTTGTTTGTGAACAAGATGGGGACCGTTGGCAAAGTTTTGCCTGGTGACTAGAATTCAAGCTTTGACTGGGAAAGAGTTAATAACTTCCCAAGACTGCTATTATTTGCATATTACCAAACTCTGGCCTTTATACTCATTCTGAACACCCACAGATTTGTATATCTGTATCCATGCCTACGCATTTCTATTATCTTTTTAAAACCACTTCAGCATGCCTGTTATATTGGTTGCACCACAGTTTTACATAACGCTGGACACAAATTTAAAATGAAATGGCAGAACACAAGCAGCAACGGTTTAGACAAGGCTATTTATAATTCTACAGTTCAGTCATTTATTGTCTTCACTAGAAGGTCATGGATTATTTTATACAGTTATAAATGCAAAGAGCTCTTCCAAGGAGAATGAAATCACATGTTGAACTCTTCTGAGCAAAGGTGCAATGTAATTGCAAAGTGGAACATAATTATCACTGGGCAGAGAACAGTCTTAGGAATCTTCCTTATTGGCAGACCTTAAGCTACGATGGTCTTATTCCAGACTGGGAATGTAAAACAGAGAAGGAGGTGAAGAGAGACAGAGATGCAACATTCCACCAAGAAAGGACTCTTCCCTTGAAAGTGCTGGATTTTCACTCCAGGAAGGGGAATAGGGTTTATGGCCGATCTCCTTGGCAATCATTCTCTCTGTGAGTTCTTCATTTTGAATGGGGGTGGTGGTATGTCCAGCTAGAGGGAGGAATCATGATTGTCTAAACTAGTCGTGGCCATCCCAGTCTTTGCTAGATACTTGAGTAATATCTTTCCCAGTTTGTTCTGGCCAGTGAGATGTAAGAGAAAGTCTGCTGAGTTCTTGTGAGAACTGCTTTATTTCATAATTAAAGAGAACAACTAACAGAATACTTCCTTCCCTTCCTGTTTGGGTGAGGATGCTGCGGGAGCCACCCTGCATCTATGAAGGAGAAGTGAAGGGAATCTGAGAGACAACAGCCCAGACCCCCATCACAGAGCTGCACGTGACCCTGGAACTTAAGTTTCCAGTTGTTCCCTATATATATATATATATCCAGTTGCAACCAATATAACAGGCATGCTGAAGTGGTTTTAAAAAGATAATAGAAATGCGTAGGCATGGATACAGATATACAGCTACCATTGTCTTTATGGTGCCTTTTCCCCCATCAGGGAGGAAGGTGCCCTGCTTCAAGTCTTTCCAGTTACACTGCAGTTTAACAGAGAAAATTGCCTTATGAACAGCCAAAAGTCAGTACAACTTAAATATGGCAGTTTATCTCAGGACATCTCCCAGCACACGTCCTCCTGAGAGCAAGTTGCTCTCAAAACCAAGGCAATGGGAAAATGGTCAGAAACATGACTTCTATATTTTCTAGTTCATACACTGAAGACACCATTCATTCATTCATTCATTCATTCATTTGGAAAGTCAGCCAGTGAACAAACATTTATTAAGGACCTTGCCAGTCCCAGGTGCCACTATGTGCTGGGTACTCGAGTCACAAGCTAGAGTCCCTGTCCTCCTGGAGACAGACATGAAACAAACATTCTACCAGAAAGTAATGATAGTTGAGATCAGTGCCCTGAGAGCAAGTAACTGCAAGATAGGGGTGGGGACAGTGGCAGTGATCAGAGACGGCTTCTCCAAGGGAGGAACATGTAAACTGAAGAAACCATCTAGTCTAGTTTACTTCAGGATTATTCAGAATTCTGCAGATGAGAAATGAGAACAGTAGGGATACAGAGAGGGAGACACGAAGAAATGTAGGAGGAGAAATGATGGAACTTGGTGATTAATCAATGTGGAAGTGAGAGAGTGGGTAGACTCAAGGATGTCTCCCAGGCTTGGGCCACTAGGTGGATGGAGACACATTCATTAGCATGGTCAATTACAAAAATGGGCCCCATTCTCCACCACTCTCTGCTTCCTTGCCCTTTTCACATGTGACTCTTCTGCTGTTTCCACAAAGGGGTGGAGTGCATTTCCCTATTCCTTGAATTTGGGCTGGCCCCATGACTTTATTTGACCAACAGAATGCAGCAGGAAGGGATGGGTTCGACCTCAAGGCCTGGGTCTCAAGAGGCCTTGTCCATTTCCACCCACTCTCTCGGAACTCTGCTCAGCTACCATGAGGGTAGGCCCTGGCCAACCTGCTGACAAGAGACACGTAACTCAGTCACTACCCTCCCTCATGACGCCAACAGCTGCCAGACATGAGTAAGGCTATCCAAGGGCAGCCAGCCCCCACCTCCAGAACCTGGAAGCTCCCTGCAGATGCACCAAAGGGCTCAACAACTGTAAGTGATTGTTGTTCTAAACCATCTAGTTTGGTGTGGTTTGTCATGCAGCAAAAACTGGTACAACCAGGGTAGAGAAAGGTATGAATAAGGGTGGGGCTGTCTAATAGGCAATTAGGTGAGACTGGAACACAGGAGGCCAGAAGCCAGAAAGTCTTCTAACTGTTCAAGGTTAAAGTCCTCAGGCTTCTGCCGTGCTGTTTCTGGTGGGCTCCGGAAATCCAAGAACCAGTCCATAGCTCTCTTTTGTGTCCTGTTCCTCACACTGCCCCCCACCCCACCCTAGACCCCACCATACACCTAGAAGTAAATACTTGGATAATGAAGCAAATGCATGACTCAAGCACATAGGATAGTATTAATGATGGATAGTTAGTGGAGAGCCAGGGCCGCCAGCCGGTGGAGTGCTCATGAGTGTTCAGGAATGAGCCAGTGCAATCCCTGCCTGCAGAAGAGGGGCTGGTAATGGATACTGAGCTGCTAACCATCACTGCCCCTAAGGGGACTTCATCTATCCCTAGCAAGGCCACAGTAACTGCAGTTGCCTCCACTGATACTAATTCAGAGCTCTTGCCCCCGCCCTCCCTTTTCCCATATTAACGTCATCCGTTAGCACCTTTTCTTTTCTTCTTTTTTTTGAGACGGAGTTTCGCTCTTGCGGTCCAGGCTGGAGTGCAGTGGTGCCATCTCGGCTCACTGCAACCTCCGCCTCCCGGGTTCAAGAGATTCTCCTGCCTCAGCCTCCCGAGTAGTTGGGACTACAGGCGCCAACCACCACGCCCCGCTAATTTTTGTATTTTTAGTAGAGACAGCGTTTCGCCATGTTGGCCAGGCTGGTCTTGAACTCCTGACCTCAGGTGATCTTGCCCACCTCGGCCTCTCAAAGTGCTGGGATTATAGGCGTGAGCCACCGCGCCCACCGCCTTAGCACGTTTTAAAAACAAAAAGGGCAACGTTTTACAGGAATCGGGGTCTCCCATTGTTGCAGAAACATCCAGCTGATCGCACTTTTTCTTCTTTCTTCTCTCGCCAACTCGTAACTCATCTCAAGTTCACCCACAGGTCTAGTGACTCCGGCTGGCTGCTGCGGGGTGAGGAGACTCGCAGAGTGCCTGACTAGAGGCCGCCCGCGCGCTCTGGATGGTGGCCGTATCTTCAGGTTCTGGGCCCCGGAGCCGCAGTCCTGCAGCAGAGCGCCTGGAGCCGCAAGCAGCGAGCAGCCCGGCGAACCGCACAGCCTCGGCGATAGTCAGCTCCGCGGCCTCTGCTCCCGCCCCTCCCGTCAGCTCCGGGAAGGGGCGGAGACGAGGAGGAGCTGGGGCGGCCGCCGCGCTCCCGGGCGCACCAAGCCCTTTAAAAGCCGCGGGTCTTGACAGCTGTGCTGGCAGCCGCCGCGGTCCCGGACTCCTAGTCCCGCTCTCCCAGCTGGCGATCCGGCTCCGGGTGCGGCGAGGCCCAGTCTGCTCGGCTTGCGCGCCGGACCGCGGGACGCGCTCCATGCGGCCGCTCAGCATGTCGGGGCACTTTCTGCTCTCACCCATCCCCGAGTCCTCCTCGGACTACCTCCTGCCCAAGGACATCAAACTGGCGGTGCTGGGCGCCGGCCGCGTGGGCAAGAGTGGTGAGTGCGGCGGGGACCCCGGGGCGGCTTCGCTCCCCGGCTCCGGCCGCGACCACTGGGGGCGCTGCGGACGGAGAAAGGGAGCTTCGGCCGAAGCAGAGGGCCGGGGGGCAGGTAGAACCCGGCTGCTTTCGCGCTCGGGGGTCCGGGTCAGTCCCGGCCTGCTTCCCCGGCGTTCCCTGGGGCATCTACTCCTGGGCTCTCGGCGGGGTTGGCGCCTGTTCGGGGATGAGGTGCGGGAGAGGTGTCCCGCCAGTCGTACTCGCGGCCGAGCCCGCGGCACCTCAGTTTTGCGGAGCCTCTGGAAGCAAGCAGTGCCCACGGTTCTGCGCCCCTCACTCCCCCCAGGGCGTCGGGGGTTCCTGGGTTTGACCCGCTTGTCCGACTCCTTCGGTTGATTTGCTCATTTCCTTTTCAGCAATGATCGTCCGCTTCCTGACCAAGAGATTCATTGGCGACTATGAACCGAATACAGGTGAGAATACTTTCACGCTCCCTGCTTTTATGCTTGCGTGTTTCTTTTTCCGGATGGGCGTTTGAGAATTGAAAAGCAAACTCTCCTTCATTCTCCAGGCAAGCTGTATTCACGTCTGGTCTACGTTGAGGGGGACCAGCTCTCCCTGCAGATCCAGGATACTCCCGGGGGCGTCCAGGTAAGAACCGCCAGGGGCAAACAGCTCACTCACACCCGTCAGACCACCCTGGTGGGCACAGCACGTAGGGCGCCCACGCTGGGCGCAGGGGTCTGAACAAGGCATCTAAACCAACCTGTGCATTTACAGGTAGGAATGGGCTCTCCACAGGGGGGGCCAGTAGTTGGGGTGTTAGAAACTCTCTAAGGGGGAGGCATGGTTAGAAGCAGCCTCCTCTTCTTAAGCACCTGACTTAACTTCACTTTGCAACCCTGGTGGGCCATCACTACTTAGGCAGGTCACACCATTTCTTCCAGAGGTAGCCGTGGAAACTTTAACAAAGAGAAAGACATTTAAAACAAAACAAAACAAAAAAACAGGTAGGATTCTAGTGGGAGAGAGTCTTCTCCCCTGGTAAGCTCTGCTTTTTTTGAGACGGAGTTTCACTCTGTTCCCCAGGCTGGAGTGCAGTGGCTGGATCTCAGCTCACTGCAACTTCCACCTGGTAGGTTCCAGCGATTCTCCTGCTTCAGCCTCCCGAGTCGCTGGGAGTACAGGCATCCGCCACAACTCCAACTATTTATTTACTTATGTATTTATTTATATTTTTTTAGTAGAGATGTGGTTTCACTATCCTGGCCAGGCTGGTCTCGAACTCCTGACGTCAAGTGATCCGCCCACCTCGGCTTCCCAAAGTGGTGGGGTTATAGGCATGAGCCACAGCGCCCGGCCAAGCACTGCTGAAGTGCTGCTGTTAATGGCTGTTCCCTCAAGTCAGTAATTGCAATCAGATAACCCCCTTGGCAGAGGGTCTAGAATGTAACTTGTTTATTAACCAGTTACTAATTGCTACTCCCTTCTCCAGAGGAAAGGTCTTGTGGAAGAACCCTAAGAAAGGAATTTCTTTCTGTAACATTCTTAAGAAGTGCATGTTAAAAATATTTTTATGGGTTTGGGAATAGATATTTATCTTGGCTTATTTTCAAAGTTTTGTTTATTATGAGTTAGTGTTTCCTAAAACTTGAGCCATTCTAGTTTAAGGTCATTCTTCAGTCAGCCATGGTTCACCAAAGACTGCCTGACAAGCAAGGGGTTTAAAAATAATGCAGGGATAACAGCTAATAAAGTAACCCAGGCAGGGAGTTTGCCTGGGAATCTGCTCTTTGCATATCAAAAGCCTGCTTCTGCAGAAGCTGGGTGGAAACTGAAAACTGTTTAGCGATTTCTTTTTCAAGTGTTTCTTCAAGGGTTGCCTTGATGTTTTTGAGTTTATCTCCCACTGAGGGTTTCCTTGACTGGATGTCATTTTGATGTTTTCTCAGATCCAAGACAGTCTCCCCCAGGTCGTCGATTCCCTGTCCAAATGCGTGCAGTGGGCCGAGGGCTTTTTACTGGTCTATTCCATCACAGACTACGACAGCTACCTGTCCATCCGACCCCTTTATCAGCACATCCGGAAGGTCCACCCTGACTCTAAAGCCCCTGTCATCATTGTGGGCAACAAGGGGGACCTTTTGCATGCCCGGCAGGTGCAGACACAGGACGGTATTCAGCTAGCCAATGAGCTGGGCAGCCTGTTCCTTGAAATTTCCACTAGCGAAAACTATGAAGATGTCTGTGATGTGTTTCAGCATCTCTGCAAAGAAGTAAGCAAGATGCACGGCCTCAGTGGGGAAAGAAGAAGAGCCTCCATCATCCCTCGGCCCCGCTCTCCCAACATGCAGGACCTGAAGAGACGCTTCAAGCAGGCTCTGTCTCCCAAAGTCAAAGCCCCCACTGCACTGGGGTGAACTATCTCAGACAGATGCCTCTCCTTTTTAATATGCATTTGTGCAGCTAAAAGACTGGGCTTCTTCCTTTTTAATCACACATTCAGAGTTTATTTTTATAAAAAGATTGATTTTCAAGTACATGTGTATTTCTGAAAATTCAGTGATTGCCTAGAAGCTGGATAAAATTTTGTTTTGGTAAAAGAACTTTTTTTTTTTTTTTTTTTTTTTTTTTTTACTGTAACCACTGGCCACTTTTCCATTAAAGGCAAAATGGCAACATTGCTCATTGTTTTCTCAATGTCTTTTTATAGAAATTGTGCTTGCAGCAGCTGCCAGAACTGTCTATGCTTGCCCTCGGTCTGAACTCTGATTGGTGTCTCGCAGTGGGGAGGAGTTCGTGTAGAGAGAGTCTGTTGTGGGAGAAAGGAAAGTATGTGGAGGAGGAGAGGGATTTGAATAACTGCAGGATGTCTTTAAATGGGACACTGCCACCAGTCATGAAATTGACACTGTGTGATTTTCACGGGAAGGGGTACAGTGTGAGCTGATGCTAAAACGTTACAAGTCATGAGTAACATTTATTGGTGCAAATACAAGTTTATACTCTACGCATATTACAAAACAAAAACCCCTTTTATAGTATTCCTTATGTCAGTAAGTGGGCCCTACCACCCAAAAGTTACCTCAAAATTCTCCTTCCCTTCCAATAGGGCACCAGATCTGTCCATCCTCACTCCTGTTTTTCTCTAAAGCCTCACTCTCCCTTAATCTAGCCCTCCCTTTGACTGGCAGGCAAGACTCATGTTTCTTGGCTTCTAGAATGGCATCTTCTATTTGTCTCTTCACATCAGAACAACCCTACTAAAACTAACCCTAATCATTTTACTTCTATAAAAAACTCAACTGGTTTCCCCTTATCTACTGGTTAAGATAGACAGGAGACATGGCATCAAGATTATTTACCACCTCTCCAGGCTTATCAACCCCTCCTTCCAACACACACACCCCAACAGTCAGTGCATTCCAACAGATTGTCTTTCTCAGCCTGCTCCAGACTCTTTCATGTCTTCCTGTCTTGGCACAAACTATCCCTCTGCCTCAAATATTTTTTCCAATTCTATATCTAATGGCTTGCTAACTCGTCTTTAAAAACTCAAGTCACATGCTACGTTCAGCTCTGGGAGGCCTTCTCTGGTCTTCCTCTATTCCTGGAACATTTGTGTTATAACCCAAGCCTGTCACGTAGCTATTTGTTACTCCATTGTAAGGAGTCCCCCTCGAGGGCAGTAGCTGCATTTTATGATCCTGTATTCCAACCTTCTAGTTCAGTGGTAAGTTTTAAGTAAACATATAATGAATAAATGAATGAATATACCATTTATGGTGCCAAGGGTCAATGATGGGAGATTGGGAGATTACCATGAAACAAACTGTTACTTCTGCAAGGCAAGGACAGGTGTTCTGAGTAATTAAAGGTTATTAGCTGTGATGGAGAGCTAATAATTAGAGATTATTAGCTGACATATGCAGCTTCTGGCAATCACAGACCATTACCCTTCCACAAGGACAGCTCTGTCCAGACCTGTGATGTCAGCACCGCTTTTCCCTGTAGTTGAACGGCGTCTACCTATACAAAATGGTGTGAAGGGTTAAGAAAATTAGATAATGCATGTCTAAAAGAGTGTCCAAATAATTAAGTAAAATATTAATTTGGTCAGGAGGCTGAGGCAGGAGAATGGCGTGAACCCTGGAGGAGGAGCTTGCAATGAGCAGAGATCGCACCACTGCACTCCAGCCTGGGTGACAAAGCGAGACTCCGTCTCAAAAAAAAAAAAAAAAAAAAAATCAATTTGGACTCCATCTTTTAAAAAATGCCTCACATCCTCCTCGTTTGCATGCTCTCAGAACAAAAGCTCCATCATCTGTTCTGCTTCCTGCCGTGCATCTTAACATTGCAGGTGTAGACCCAAGAACAACTGATTCTCCTAGTCCCTGCCATGCCTACAACATGTCCAGATTGCAGCCTGTCACCAGGGACTTCTCTGCCTTCAAGGAACTGAGATCAAACATCCCATGGGAAAAAGTTAAATCACAGTCTAAAAGCTAAAGAATAAGACAAGAGCTGTCCACAGGCCACCTATGATCAAGTTTCAAATGAGTGAATGCTAAGAACAGAAAGTCATCTTGAACTCTTCAGGGGAGCAGGCTGTGGATCAGAAGGGTCAAAAGACGAGTCCCAAGGCCATTTCAAAGGGACTCACAGCCTTGTGGGCTCAGGCAGGCTGATGGGCCAAGCAGAAAGCACCCTCTCCTGTCTTCTTTCTCTCCCAGTATCATAAATGATTGACCTGCAGGGCTTCACGGCCAGCTTTATTCTCTGGTCCCTGAAACTGGCCCAGCACAGGAGCTGGCTTTTGCTGGTCGTGGAGAAACTTCGTTGTCTGTGGCCGCTCTTTCCCAGGCCTCCCGCTAATCAGCAGTGGGGTCTCCTGGGGATCATAGTGCTTAGGGAGTATCTGGAAGGCTCTTGGGATGGTAGCTCCAGAGATGGAAGAGGTGAGCATGGAGTTATCGGAAAGCGGTTAAACTGGAAAGTTGTGTAGGGAAGAGAGCTGAGGATATAGGCTTGGCTGAGTGCTAAGGAAGCCCTAACAGGGGAAGCTGAGCTCTAAGCCAACCTCCCCTTCCCTCACCAATGGGGAGGGCATAGTTGAGAGAGCCATGGGTGTTATTATTTTGCAGGCAGGGGCAGAAGTCCTGAAACACTGGACAGAACATTGGGTAGAACATTAAAAGAAACTTGGGTGGGTGTGGAGAGAACAGTATCTGTGCATTTTATCTAATAGTTTTGCCTTACCTCTGAGGTGTTATGGCTGGTGCAAGAATTTACCTCTATCCTCATGAGAGAAGTGGGACTGTAGCTTCCCCCACCCACTTCGCCTCCCTCCTCCATCCCTGCCTCTGTGGGAAAATCTGTCTCTGAAACCCCCAGGCCTCCACTGCTGGCATTCGTTCTCCTTCTGGTCAAGGCTCAGTCACTGATTCTGCTTTAAAACTCTGCAGAATGATTTAATTAATGTTGCAATCAGTGTTGTTCTGGAGAAATGGATGCAATCCAAAATGGCTAAATTGTACATCCTGCAAACATTCCGTACTTCACATGCAACTCATGAGAAGCAAACTCAAATAATGGAAAAATAAGTCAATTATAATAGAAGAAGATAAATTTGTTTTGCTTGTGTTTAGGCGAAGGGCACAACGGAAGTTCTAAAGTTTATTAATATCTGTTTAGAGAAATGGATTAAAATAAATACTGGAAGGCAGTGGTAAACAATTGAGCAAATAAAAAAGACAAGATGACTGTTCAGTTATAAATTGGGGCTCGAATTGCTTTTTTGCTCCTTGTATATGTTGCAATTTCAACTTCTCATTATGCAAAGTTACCAATTCAAATTTACAATGCAAATACATTTTCTGTGATTAATAAACTATTATTACCATTTACTCTCTCTCCAAAAGGTGGAATATTTTGAAAGACTTTGTTAAAATTAGTTTCAAGCTACTGTGGTGGCACTTAGGAAGAAAGATGTGATATGGAAAAAAAAAAGATTATTTTCCAAACATCATTAATTGAGCTAGGGCCCTAGAAAAAAATTAATCTATGTAAGTGATGATTTGGTTGCAATTGCAAAGCAATTTTCAGCATAACAGAGTAGAAATGCGCCTGCCTTAGATGAAATGTCTAGAAATCTCCCTTGTGTACCCTCTCTTTATGTACTTCTCCTCTAGTAGAAAGTCAGCTCTGTTAGGATTTGAGTGAGTCCTCATTTATCTTCAGCTCCACAGCACCTGTTCAAGTGTCCAGTACACAGCAGGATCCTCAAAAATATTGGCTAAGCTGAACTGTTAGAAATATTGGAGTCCCTAAAGTTACTTTTTTATTGTTCATGAGTACAGAGGTGTATTAGGGTTCTCTAGAGGGACAGAACTAATGAACAGATATATGTGTGTAAAGAGTTTATTAAGTATTAATTCTAACAATCACAGGGTCCCACAATGGGCCATCTGCAGGCTGAGGAGCAAGGAGAGCCAGTCCGAATTCTGAAACTGAAGAAACGGGAGTCTGGTGTTCAAGGGCCTTACCTCTGAAATGGAAGCATCCAGCACAGGAGAAAGGTACAGGCTGGGAGGCTAAGCCAGTCTCTCTTTTCACATTTTTCTGTCTGCTTATATTCTAACTGCGATAGAAGCTGATTAGATTGTGCCCACCCAGATTAAGGGTGGGTCTGCCTTTCCCAGCCCACTGACTCAAATGTTAATCTCCTTTGGTAACACCCTCTCAGACACACCCAGGATCAACACTTTGTATCCTTCAATCCAATCAAGTTGACACTCACTATTAACCATAACAAGGGGTATATATCTATATCCTGAGTTTTCTTCATCAAACTGTCAGAGACAGCCCCTTTCCCACCCATCTCCCCGGCCTCTTTTTTATCTTTTTTTTTTTTTTTTTTTTTTTTTTTTTGAGGCAGGGTCTCGCTCTGTCACCCAGGCTAGAGTGCAGTAGCATGATCTCAGCTCACTGCAACCTCTGCCACCCAGGCTCAGGCAGTCCTTCCATATCAGTCTCCCAAGTAGCTGAGATTACAGGCATGCACCACCGCATCCAGCTAATTTTTGTATTTCTGGTTGAGACAGGGTTTTACCAACCATGTTGCCCAGGCTGGTCCCAAACTCCTGAGCTCAAAGGATCCACCCGCCTCAGTCTCCTAAAGTGCTGGGATTACAGGCGTGAGCCACCGCACCTGGCCTCCTTTCCCCTTCTTTAACTCAGAGAACATTCTCCAGAGAAAGGCTACTTGAACAAAATAGATGCTTTCAATTTTGCTTATATCTTTAGAAAAACCATGACAACAGTGATTTGCATTATTTTAAATCACATCTATTGAGAATTCGCTTTGTGCAAAAAGCCCTGTGCTACATGTTATTGTGATCAAGACAGCCTTCCTTTCCCAGGAACTGAGTTCAGTGGGAGTTCTGGGTCACACCTCTGAAGGGGTCACTTGTTTTCCGGGAGATGTGAATTTAAACTCTGACCCTACCTGAGGGTGTTGACAAAATCAGTGGGGGATGCAGATCACAGAGCCGAGGGGGGATGGAAGCAAATACCACAAAGAGTGTGAAAGTATCGTTACTAAGAAAGGATGTTTCTTACTTTACAAATTGTAAAGCATCATTTCCTTGGAGGCATGTGTTCAGTTCAAGATTAATGAGTTAAAGTTGTAAAATATTTACTGCCATTTCTTATTGGCATTCTTTGCTCATATTGGAAAAACACTGTTAACTGCAGGGCTTACTTCTATAACCCAATTTTGCCTAGCAATACTAATGTGGATTTATAACTGGGAAAACAAGGATGCTTCCGAAGATCCTGCCAATGAATAGAACCAGCCTTGTGGAGACAGAATAGCACGTGTTCCCAAATGAGGTCTGGGTTCAAATCCCAACTTCGCCATTGGTGATATAAGCTTCCTTATCTTAAAATGGAAATAATAGTACCCATCAGACAGAATTGTTTGTGGAATCTGACACATATATGGTGCTCAGTAAGTTGTAATTGTTTATTTATTTATTTTTAAATATTTTAGGCTGTAGTGCTGGCTACTTGGGAGAATAAGGTGGGAGGATCACTTGTACACAGGAGTTCAAGGTCAGCCTGGGCAACAGAGTAAGACCCCAGCTTTAAAAATAAATAAATAAAAGTAAAATATCTTGGTACATTATGAAGCTGCTTTTGCAAATGAGTGTTTCTTGGGCTTGCTTGGATACTCTAAAAGATACAGTAGTTGCTTTGAAGTACATGACTTTTCCCATTTCGCTTCTGGGAAAAAGAAGGTTTGCAAGGGAATAGTTGTTTCTTCAATAATAACACCTAACAATTACTGATCTTTTATGTATGCTGGGTTAATTTTCTAAATAATCCATTGAGATAGAACTATTATCATTCCC